ATAGTTGGGGTGCTAACTTAACATACCCTAAATTTATAAACTTAAAAATATATAAGTTTGAAATTTTTCACGAATTTAATCATAGAAATTAAATGGTAAAAAAATGTTTAACGTGCTAATTTTAGATTAATTCTCATTCATCGATTTTGTCGAATTTTGTGCTTATCATTCGCACTCATTTGTTGCGCAATTTTTCATTTGTAATTTTATTTCTCTTTATATTTTTGTTAATTCGTTAATTCAACAATTTATTATTTATATTATACATTGGCAAATCTATCATAAGTTTATCACAATTATTAAAAATATATTCTAAATCCTATTAAGTTCAGTACTTCAATCAGAGAATTATTAAATTAAAATATTAAATTCGATTTATTTTTTATATAATAAAATCGCTGCTCCGATTAATTATAAAATTAATATAATATTCTTTGAAAGAAGATAAATTATTGTTTTGAGTACACAATGAATTCAAAAATTTGTAATAAGTATATTTTAAGACTATTATGTAGAAAATATTCGTAGTTAAAGACAATAAAACAATACGTTGATGTCTCATCACTTTTTGAGATACATCACTTTTTACTGTACATTTATTTATACTTTTGTTATTTTACACTTCAATAAAGATTATTACAAATAATTGTTATTATATATCACTGGAAGTATTTGCAGCTAAAAATTGTTTTTGCAGGCGGTGCGCGTGGCGGTCAGAGCAACAAAGTGTCAAAGCGGGCGAAGCCCCTCGACCCCGATGAGGACGATTATTACTACGATGATCCCGTGGACGAGAGGAACAATCCGACGAACGAGGCGCCAGCCGTGCCGCCTGGATTCCTGAGCCCGTCCGTGCGCGAGTACCTCGATCTCGGTAAATCGATACCCGGTACGTAAACAAGATCATCTCGCGCAAAGTTGTCCCTTTGTTGAGCCGCTTGTCTGGTCGGGGCCGATCCCCGGTTGACGCGCAACAGAGTCGCTCTTTTCATCCTACGCTTCTTCCGTCTTTGTGTGCACAGCTTCCGGAATCCGTTCTTACTCCTCCGTTTCGCTTTATCCACACTCTTCTCTTCCCGTTTTCTCACGTCACACCTTTTCCCCTCGTCTCTCTTTCTTCCGCACCGAGTATCTTTTAAAATCGAGAATGAGCGCAGCATCGCATAAAAGCCGACCGATCGTTATTTCTCGCAAGCGAGAAATAGATAAAGCCTGTAATGGAAACTTCACGTGGAGATGAGCCGGACTTGTAAGACGCTTTCTCGCAGGCGAGAAATAGATAAAGTCTGTAATGGAAACTTTACGTGGAGATGAGCCGGACGTAAGACGCTCGCGAGTAACTCTGTCAGATAATGAGGAACAATGAGGAAATGGAGAAAGCCAAGAGATATATGACGAAATAGGCACAGGAAACAAATCGATTGCGTAGACACTCTTCGTCGAACGCGTCTTCCGTATTCTCGAGTAGAAAATATTTCACGCTCGACGGTGCCAGACTGTGAGAAATGTCAGGCATGCGGGAGTTACGCGTGGAATTGACCCTTTACTTTAAAGTACCGTCTGCAACCGTTTCCCCTTATTCATAAGAATATAATAGGTGCTCCGAATCCGCGAGAAATACGTAACTGTATTGTATAATAGTTGAATAATTTAATATAATACATTCGTGAAATTATCATTTCTGAGCAAAGTTTCGCGCGGAAAGATATGCATCTCGATGCAGGTGCAGGAAGATTTCATTTATCTTGATCTACTTATAGACACAAATACTGATATAAGTCTGGTGAGATGTATAGGATGGTCCAGAAGGCGTAGGTAATTAAAAACAATTTTTGGAACCGATACTTTTTCGAATAAAAATATTCAAGGCCATATGCACAAGGACAGAAATATTAGGAACAGGTGTGAATATTAAGGATGTATCAGGTATATCGTATAGTCTCTACACAATACAAGAAATGACTGAAAATGTGTATATATGTGTGTGTACATAATTAAAATAGTTAAATAAGGTTAAAATTTATATAATATTTAACAATACAAATTTTATAGTTTAAATAAAAAGAAAACTTAATTAATTTAAAAAAAAAACATGTCTACTTTTTTAATAAATCTATAATAATAATTTTTAATCCAAGTTCTAAATCGCTGCTAAATTATTTTAATTTACTTTCGATGTCATTTTTAACAGAAATATATTTTAGAGAAATCTATATTTTTTCGTTTGTTAAAAAAATACGTGTGATACATTTTTAAATATTAAAAATAAAAAATATCTTGTGTATATAGGACCGTGAGAATTAAAATCAATAAGAAACAAGCCGTAAATGGTCAAATCTTAAGTGCTTCTATAATTGCGTTAGATTTACTCTCTAATCCTAATTTTTTTTCATTTCTAATATTTAATATTTATTCTTGTTTCTAATAATTCTTGCAATATCTTAGACACACTAATTGTTTCTTTCAATTATTGACTATCGATTTTTATGAAGCTTTAATATAAACATTAATTTAATGAGTATCTATATAATTCAATATTAAAAGCTAGAAGAAACGACAATATTCGATAAAGTAACAAAAAGTCGGCTTCATAACGCTAAAGAAATCACGATTTTTAATAGTTAGGACATCTCATCATTCCCAAAAAATCTAATTATGAAGTAAAATTACTGATAATCCAATATATATTCTAAGCGAAAAGTTTTACGATAAAAGTATTCTTTTTCCAATATAGTAAACTATTCATTAGAAATGTATTGAATATTATTTTAACAGTTTTTCTCTTGTATATATTATAAAGAATGTATTTACTTAAAGAAAATGCCCTCTTAAAGAAAATTCATATTAGGAACAGCAAGATTTATACCGCAGATGTAAGACAAAATTACTCTAATTGTAAGAATATTCTGCTTAAAATATTTTCCACTTAATTTCGGAGGATTCCTCTTGAGCCCGTACATAACATAGGTAAGAATAAAATCCTCTAAGATTTAGCGAATTCTGCTAATACGAAAATTATTTATTTGGTGATGTAACCTTATTTTACGAGATGGCGATTGTGCGAAAACGTATACGCGAGAAGACGCCGCTCATGCGAATAAAGCGTTAGGTCGAGCGATACGTTTTGCAGAGAGCGATTATATAAGATTTGCCGGCCGCAAATGGATGGGATTTAAATCTAGACGGACGACGCAATACCGCCGGCGTTCATGAACACCCTTCAGCGGGTAATCCGGCCGACAATAGACGCCGGAATGAGGAGGAAGATGCCGGCGCGAGGCGGAAGTATAAGGAAATACGTAGCCGCATACCTCGACGAGCAATAACTTATCTTCTATCCGCTTCTTACCTTTTCCTCCTCGTTTCCGCAATCGTATAAAGCGCGCTCAAGCCGGAGGAGGAACTCGTCGAATACGAAGGCGCCGTTCCGTTCCGCGGAGATACCAGCAATTTCGCTGATATTCCGCAGCTCTTTATGCTCAGATAAGACAAGAAGGGCACACCACGTAACGACCGTTTGTCACTCGTCAATTTTTTTTTTAAAGCGTTTCTCTCTAACGTTTCTCTCCAACCGAAGGATTTTCTTTCAGTTGACTTACGCGCTGTTCAATATGAATTTTACAACATCAGCAAAGTCGGTTTTTAACTTCTCTCCTGATTTGCTAAGATTTATCGGTGATTTTAACGCCGCCGACAAGATCTTTAAAAGCACCCTTGATATTCTGGTAAATTTAAAATTTGTAAAAAATAAGTAAAAAAATACAATCTGATTTTTAAGATCGTGAAAACTCAATATTTCGACCATAACCAATAAAATTTTGACAAGTAGACCTGAATTATTATTATATTATTATCATCGTTATATATATATATATATATATATATTATGTCGATTATTAGTTGCTCCCAAACACCGTAGCTTTGTATACACCGTGTAATTTAAAGAATATATAATTATTGCTATATGATGGAGCACGTGAACTTGGAGTACGCTAATAATGCTCGTTTCTACCAATATAAATTAACTTTAATCTCGGTTCAACTTACTTTTCATCATTTTTTAATTCTTAGAACTAGAATAAGATGAAGAGTTAGTTAAACCAAGATTAAAATTAAACCACATTGGTAGAAACGGATATAAGTCAGGAGAACGTAGTTTTGCGTCAACAAGTTTCAGAGTATTAGGGGCTTTAATGGGTTAAATCTGCTTGTATTAAGCAGAAACAACGATGGATTTGTCGATAAGCGCTTTAATAGATCGCTTAGGGCCTCAAAATTGTTGCGTGATATTATCTCTATTTTACAAATTGATTATGATCGAACTAAGCGACGCGCGTGCGATGTACACGATAATTATTTTCGGATTTCGCAAAATCGAGAAAATTACAAAAATATGAAGTCTGAGAAGACTTGGGAATGCCTGGAAGATGGCACTGTGTCGCGTACTCGACCGTTTTTGCAATTTAAAATAAAATAAATACCTAAGCTGCTTACTACTAATGAGATTCTGTAATTTACATCCTGCGATAAATTACATGTCCTAGATGCACTGTCCCTGCGTTTTTTTTTTCCAAACCGATTCTCACCATACGCGAGGAAGCGGTTGCTTTTGGTTTCAAAAATCATTACTTTAAAGCGAGGTAACTGCATTAGTAGCATCGTAAATTCACGTCAGTGTAACCGAACGAGAAACGCTATTAATCTCGACTTCACCAGTGATGTAGTCTCTCTCTCACCTTATCACGCTCCTTTGTTTTAAAAGAAATTTGTACTATAAATCATAAAAAATAAATAAGGTAGTTAGCGATACCCGTTTTCGTAAAAAAAAAATAATCTTACAGGGCAAGAGGCGATACCACGCGAGTAAAATCCACGGTGTATTTCTCAGTTGACACTTCGATAGATAAGAAGCTCCCAGCAAATTGAAGAGTGTTGCCCGCCTGTCGTTCGACAGATAAAATTAGCAGCGCATTTTTAAGTGCAGCTTTTCAAAAATTACTATCGCGATAACCTTGTTTGCCATTAAACGCGCGGTCATACCACATTAAACGCGATTTATGTCACTTTGTGTCGGCTAATGGGTTCTTTGAAAAACCGCTTTGAATTTCAAACGCTGACCTATCGTAACGCAAGCAGGCAAGTGGCATCCGCTTCGATTTGCCTCGGTCGTCCTACGGAGGGCGAACGTCGGCCGGCTTCTCTCCCTTTAGCCGATCGATCGTAAAATATTTGCCGCAGCCTTCGCGTACGGAGAGAAAATTCCTATAATGGAGTTTGCACATCGCGCTACCCGAGGGTAGATAGGTTGAAGAGAGGCTGCACGGCGCAACCCTTGCGTGTGCACGTTACACGCGATAGAGAATGTCGGCTGGGCTGATTTATAAGCGAACACATACAGCACGGGGGTGTTTGGCGCGCATAAAATTCATACACTAAATTAAATACGCTCATAAGTACCTGGAGTACTCGGGCAGGTACCGAGTACACTCGTGAAACTTTACGGAACGGAGAACGATTATTTATCTCGGGCTCATGCCTGAAGGGGTTCCACATGCCTGTCGTGGAAACGCGAATAATATACGCAGTTAATCCGCTCAACCATTGTTCTACGAGATCTGATTATTTGATAACGCGTTAAACGTATTTCGTCGCGCGATTAAATCGATCGCGCGCGGCTTAGGTGTAACGCGGCCATCACGTTGAAATTCCGTGCTTTGTAGCCGGCGACGATAATCGTCTCGCGATATAAATAAATGAATAAATTAATCGGTCATAATCAAATTAGCTGCGGTATTAGAATGTACGAGTTAAAAAATTTCTAAGTGCCCGAATAATCGGCCAAGCAAAAAATACACTACAAAAAAACCGTTCTCAAAATGTCAGATCGTT